AAGCCCATGGGGCGTAGCCCAAGGGAAATATGAAAATTAAATTATATAATATTGCATTGTCTTCCATTTGTGAGCTATATTTCAAGTTTCAAGTCTCTAGCTCATTGGGAAGTTAGTATAAAATTGATTGCAAAGTTTGTACCGGACAAGAAAGCGAGCTAATAAAAACGTTTTAAAAAAAGAAGGCTTAAATTTTAGTATTCTTTGCCTTTGTTTTTTAGTTTAAAGATTTTACCCTTAAGGCATTTTTACATTTATAAGGTGTCAAATATGTTCTACTGCAGAAGTCAAAATATGCTAATTAGAATTAATAGAGATGGTTTATGTTCTGGTTTATCTGATTCTATTCCAAGGTCTCTCATGTTTTAGTAATTCCTTCTCTTATATCGCTCCAAGAATATTTAATAATTTGCCTGAAAATAAGACAGCCCTAAATGCTTCCATATTCTCAAAAAGTGTAAAATATATGTCATTTACAATAAACTAGGTGGCGTTCGCAGAGGCATCCACAAAATTGAGCGGAGTCATCAAGGGTTTATATTATATTGTTTTGGTCATACTGCAGTAATACCAGTCGTTTTTAATGCATGCGTTGCGGGTCTAAAGTAGCATTTTTACTCTTTAGGAAGTAAAAATAGTTTTTATCCTCTATGGAGTAAAAATCTGCTCATGCATCATCTGCATGCGTTGCGGGTCTAAAGTAGCATTTTTACTCTTTAGGAAGTAAAAATAGTTTTTATCCTCTATGGAGTAAAAATCTGCTGTTGTCAACTCAGTTGTAAATTTCGATTGTAAACGATTGCATATATCGAAAATATGTATCGATTCGTGCATCGTAATAATTTTAACCTACAGTCTACAGTATACAGTCTCTTCCCATAGCATTTTAGCATTGCAGATACATTAATCCATTCCCACACTCAACACTGCTCACCTTTACTACTTCCTTCACCACTTCCTACGTCGCGGACCTGTTTCCCTCCCTTCCCATAGCATCATAGGATTGCAAATACCTTAATCTAACGGTCATAATCAGTTCCTACACTCCGGACTGCTCGCATTTACTACTTCCTTCACCACTTCCTACGTCACGGACCTGTTTCCCTCCCTTCCCATAGCATCATAGGATTGCAAATATCTTAGTCTAATGGTCATAAACAGTTCCTACACTCCGGACTGCTTGCATTTACTACTTCCTTCACCACTTCCTACGTCAAGGACCTGTTTACCTCCCTTCCCATAGCATTTTATGATTGCAGATACATTAATCTAATGGTCATAAACAGTTCCCACACTCCGGACTGCTCGCCTTTACTACTTCCTTCACCACTTCCTACGTCGCGGACCCGTTTTCCTCCCTTTCTATAGCATTTTATGATTGCAGATACCTTATTCTAATCGTCATAAACAGTTCCCACACTCCGGACTGCTCGCCTCTACTACTTCCTTCACCACTTCCTACGTCGCGGACCTGTTTCCCTCCTTTCCCATAGCATCATAGGATTGCAAATACCTTAGTCTAATGGTCATAAACAGTTCCTACACTCCAGACTGCTCGCATTTACTACTTCATTCACCACTTCCTACGTCACGGACCTGTTTACCTCCCTTCCCATAGCATTTTATGATTGCAGATACATTAATCTAATCGTCATAAACAGTTCCAACCCTCCGGACTGCTCGCCTTTACTACTTTCATCACCTCTTCCTACGCCACGGACCTGTTTCCCTCCCTTTCCATAACATTTTATGATTGCAGATACCTTAATCTTATCGTCAAAAACAGTTCCCACACTCCGGACAGCTCGCCTTGACTACTTCCCTCATCACTCTCTACGTCGCGGACCCGTTATCCTCCCTTCCCATAGCATTTTATGATTGCAGATACCTTAATCTAATCGTCATAAACAGTTCCCATACTCCGGACTGCTCGCCTTTACTACTTCCTTCACCACTTCCTACGTCACGGACCTGTTTTCCTCCCTTCCCATAGTATCATAGGATTGCAAATACCTTAATATAATGGTCATAAGCAGATCCCACACTCCGGACAGCTCGCCTTGACTACTTCCTTCCTCACTTCCTACGTCGCGGACCCGTTTTCCTCCCTTCCCTTATAATTTTTGGAATGCAGATACCTAAATCTAATCGCCATAAACAGTTTCCACACTCCAGACTGCTCACCTTTGGTACTTCCTTTAGCACTTCCTACGTCACGGACCTCAAGCTAGTGTCGTCATTTGATTATTTTTATGATTCATGTTAACTCTTTTTCTGTTCTAATATCTGTGGAATAATGCTATCAGCTATTTCTTTATCTACTGCATTCAAAAATCAACAGCTGATCATATGTCTTTGTTTATGTGTCAAATACTGCTTCCATAAGGATTACATTGAAACTTTGAGACCCAGTGGGGCGGATTCCTGAGAGTTATTTTTAACGCCATATAGATGTTGGCACTCACCGATATGGTCTTTATCACCATCCAAAATTTGAAAACGATTGATTCAGCCGTCTAGGAGTTTGCGTATTACAAAATGCATAAAAGTCGACGTATAAGAGCTTCGCTCAATTATGTGAAAGATATATTATGTTTAGACTTTGTATATTACCAATTAAAGCGTTTTATAAAAATAGTGTTAAAATTATCATTTGAGCGAATTTCCCATATAGGGAATAAGCTATTACCGTAGTACTCATGGTAAGACCTGGGCCTGGGACCCAATTATTTTTTTTTGTTTTGAGGTCCCTAGAAGCCAAAAACACCATCCGTTCAAATTCATATATAGCCTATATATATTAAATAATTGAAGTAAATAAGTACAACTGAGCACGCTGAATATTATATTTTTAAAAGAAGTGACTTTTTATATCAGGTTGCTCAGTTGTACTTATTTACTACAACAATTTAATATATCAGCAGCCCTATTACGTGAACACCTAAACTAAAACATTTATATCTATCTATCTATCTATATATTAATAGGCAAGCATGTTTCTTTAAAACCTTTTTTCTCAGCTCGCATGCATCGCAGGGAAAATCTACGCATAACGTTGGAAAGATATTTCCCTGTAGAAGTGCAGAATCCCTTTAAAAATTAAAATATGCTCAAATATAAGCACAAAAAATGGATTTGAAATTTAAACTAAAATTAACATGGGCTTTATGGGTTGCCATGCTGGTGACGAAATAACAACGAAATATAAACAGAAAATCAAAACAAATGGAATAAATTACAATCACATGTTTTATTTACAGCGTGGGGTGAAAATAGAAAAGCCTGTACCTTTACATTCCATCCCCATGTTAAAGTTGTCACCAGTTGTTTCTTTAAATTCGTCGTAGTTGATGTGAGCCACCAACAGATTGCGCTGATCTAAATTACTAATATCTGTCGAATACACAATGTTTTTTACCAATTCAAACTTTTAGAATGACTTATTATGAGCTATAGCAATTGTTATGACCCATCAACTCTGTCAGCAACAAAGAATGAGGTAGAAAATATAATTTAAGACATGCATTCAATAACTGGCTCAAAAAACTACCTGTTTTTTATAAAGAAAATTTCAAAAGCTGGTCCATATAGATGGGATGTCCACTTCAGTATCCAATGGTCAATACGTGAACATTACATTTTTTTGGTCGAGTTTTCGACCACTGGTTATATATATATATATATATATATGTGTGTGTGTCCGTTAGCGCAAGCAAAAATGATCCGATTTTGATCAAATTTGGTACAAACGTGTAAACCTACGTTTATTCAAACGAGTTCACGAACCAGCATAATCGGACCATGGGTAAATGGTACCATGGTAAATTAAAATTCTCATGTTATTCTTATGGAGAAAATTAACACTGTAGTAGTTTACTTGTTTATGGATATATGTTGATCAAATTTGGCAAATTTGTTTATTTCATCTTATACTATTGACGTATGGTCAAAAACACTTTTTACCTTCCCCGTAGCAGCAAACCTAAGCACTCGTTAAATCTAATCCTTATATAAAATACGTGAAGGCGATTTCTACGAAACACTACTTCTCCGTTAATAATGGACGGATTTGTTAAACGATGTGTCAAAATGAAGTATTGTTTGTGTAGATGCCCCCTTTCACCAATTCCTGTAATAAAAGTCCTCGGGTTTTGCCCCACAGGCCATCAAAATCCCAATGTATTTCTTATGGATAAAAGATTTTGTTTACTTAAACGGACGAATAATTTGTATTCATTACAGCTCTTCATAGTAAACACATGATACACACAAGAGCGTTCGTTTTCAGTTTCGATAACTGGAATGGAGTGAATGATTACATTATCTTTGAGTTGACTATTTTAAGTCATCGGAAATTATGACTGTTATTTGTTTTGAAATAACGCCTGTAGGCCCTAATACTTTGCAATTACTCGAATTCGAGCAAAAGGTGCACTAGTCTTATTTAAATTGGGAATAAATATGTCTAATTTATAGAAATATTTTAGTAAAAATGTAATCAGAAAAGTTGAAATTCGTTTAGTCTGCAGGTTTGCTGCGGCGGGGGTATCTATTTTTGTGTCCCTAGCTAGTTTATGTATTAAACAAAAATGTCCTCTTTTGATTTTTTTTTTAAGTTACAGTATTTTTCATTTTTCCGATGCTTGCAAGAGTTCTTATTATTTTTTATTTTGAATGTAGGTGTATATTCTTTGTGTTAAAAATTAGTTTTGCAATAGATGAACTTAATTTAATGATGTGTAATTAAATTATGGTGATGGTAACCTCAACACAGGGTCCCCATAAAGAGGTACCTATATTTTCCACAATTGTTTGTAAAGCTACATTGTAATATTTGTAAATGAGGAAACTAAACCAATTTCTTTCTTTCTCTCTTTCTTCTTTCTTTCAAGGAGTAACTGTTTCATTATATCTAGTCCAATATGGAAAATCACACATCTTATAAAAAGTTTATCCTAAAAGAATGTTACTTTTTGAATTAAAATGTGTTTTTTTTTCAGAATGTATTTCATTTGAAGAAAAAGACAAAGAGAAGCAACTTGTCTCTAAATCTAGAGAACAAGACAGCACTAGCCAGGACTCAGCAACAGATTCTGGACTCTGTCCTGACAGTGAGGGCATGTCACCCACACCTCACATCTATGACGAGAGACCACTGAAACAAAACTCTAGTGATAACAGTGGTGAACTGAGTGTAAATCCTCCAACTGATCCATGTCCTTTGTTGCCCAACGGCCATGCAGACCAACTACCTGATGATAGTTTTGGAAATTTTGAATCCATTCCATCCCTAAAAATACAAAATAATGCAGAGGAAAGTATTGGAGAAGATGATTTAAGAAGTTTATCTCCATCACATTTACAGCTTTGTAATGTACAACAATATAATATAGACAGTAATTTGAATATTCACTTTGGCAATAAGCAGTTATCTGAAGAAGTAAGGAATTGTGATGAATCATTACCAGAATTTAGTTCAGTGGAGTCAAGTGTAAATGAATCTATGGCGGAAAATGAAAACTGTACTTTGTCAAAAGTAGATACTTGTAAATATGTACAAATTAATTCACAGTTAAATGATGTTTCAGCAGAACAAGTAGATTTTGTTTCTAAAAATGACAGACTAAATTTTGAATCAGATAGCCCAAATTTAGTACCTACAGATGCCATGTCTAGTCTGTTTCGAGAAACTGAGCAATATAATAATGTTGATTGTATAGAGGAATCACAAAAAGAAGACAAGTTAGGCACTACAAAACCTAATAATGAACCTCTTGACAACAGAGAAGAAGGTCAAACTGGGAAGCCCATTGAAGTTGATGAGGACGAGTTTGATGATTTTACTGATTTTAAAGCAGGGTTTCCAGATAACCATGACTTATCTACATCTGAACATTCCAAGATATTTGTGGATCTCACAAAATTAGAAGAAGCTGCCTTACCCCTGTCTCCTACAAATCAGGAAGATGACGATGACGAAATTTCTAATTTTGCAGATTTCTCATCGTCTGATTGTGTGTTTGTTAGTGCACAAAATAGTAATAGTTCAGAAAATCTCTTACAATGTCCACTAAAACTTGATAATGATGATTCAAGGACAGAAAGTGAATTTCAGGTCAGTTTTTATTTTAAAATGGTGTTGGAAAAGTTTTCAAGTGGAAATGTTTAAAATTAGGATGTTGGGTGTACATTGGTGCTAAGAGACAAATTGGGTGGTAATGAGAGATCAGGATCAGATATATATTTGTTAGTAGTAAGCAAGGACGTAGCTAGAGTATATGGCGCCCTTGGCGAATAGCACTCCCAGAGGCGGGTCTGGGGGGCCAATCCCCCAGCAAAAAGGGGGGACCGGGGAAGTTTTTTTGCAATTTTAGGTGCAAAATAGTAAGTTTTGTGTGTTTTAGCAAGTCTTTTACAGATATCTCATAGGAATTTTAAATGGTAAGATTTGTGTGTTTTAGCAAGTTTTTTAGTGAATTTCCCTGTAGGGAAGTAGCTATTAACGTAGGTAGCATGGTAAGACCCGGGACCGATTTACTTTTTCATTTTGATGTCCCCAGAGGCCAAAAACACCATTCGTTCAAATTTTTATACATGTTTATATATATAATGTGTCCGTGAACACGATAACTTGAGTAATTTTTGCCCGATTTTGATTAAATTTGGTTTAAAGGTGTAAGGCGGGATAAACTTTAATGGCTATTGGCTTGATTGGCTGTTGAAAATTAAAACAGTTTAAAAAATAATAACAAATCTTAATCATTGATGTTTAAAAAAGATAGCCTAGTAAACATTCTTTTTCCGTTGTAAACAATGTAATGATGAATTTTTGCAGGTGATAAGTAACAAAAAGGGTCATTTCACAGTAGTGTAGGGAAAATAATGTTTACAGTTAGATTTTTTAACTAGAAGCAGTTGAGGTATGGACATGATGAACTATCTTTTACAAAAACTGTGTTTTTCTGTAGTGTGATCCGTGTGATCATGTGATATGACTTGTCAAATTTTGAGGTTAAATAAAAAAACAAATAAACTGTTATATTTATTGAACAGACAACTATTGAAAATATACTTTCAAAGACCTTCTTCCAGTAAAAAAAAATAACATTAACATTTTGATAAATAACATAACCGTTTAAAAAATAGTTACATAAAATTAAAATGTAATTCCTGACCTGATTACAACTCAACCAATGAATAGGCCTAAGTTTTTATTAAATAAGTATCTTCAAATCCTTAAGTGGTTAGTTTTAATAATAATTAGCTGTCCGATCTAATGTTAAAATATTGTAACTTGCAGTTGATAAATTGTAACTAATACAGTCGGAGTCGATAATTAAGTATTTAATTTAAACTCTGTTGTATTTAAATTGCCACTTCTACAGCATGTGTATTGTATTGTTTTGGTACCCAAAGAAAGTAAATTTCTTATTTTAGTAAATAATTAACTCAAGAAAAGTAAATGCTCTGATCTATATATATAAAATCCAATGTATGTTTGTATGTGTGTTTGTATGTATGTTTGTATGTATGTATGTATGTTTGTTTGTCCTTTAGCGGACTCCGAAACCGCTCGACAGATTGTAATGAAACTTTCAGGTATTATTAAGCATTATTCAAGGATGGTTTTTGTGAAGTTTGGTGCAGATCCGTCAAAAGAGCTCCGCCCCAGTGGCTCTGGAGTTTCCCATGTTAACCTTTTGAGTACTCATATTTAAATAGAATTAAAGATTCTTAACAGCTGGTTCAACTAAAGAATTTAATTATATGATGTTCAATAGCATTAAAAAGTTAATAGGTTTACCAACAGGGTGCAGCACAATTTTATTTTTTTAATTTATGACAACAGCTAATTTGTAACCAAAAGGTGAGTGAGTTTAGCGAACAAACTTCAACCTGGAGGCGAGTTAGCGTAGCGAACGAGCTCCAACCTAAAGGTGAGTGAACATCACCTCGCTAAAGCGCTGAACATCACAGCGTAGCGAACAAACTTCAACCAGGACGTGATTGAGCCATGCGAACGAGCTCATCTTGAAAATGAACGAGCATTTGATATAAAACCACATTAGGACAGGACGACGTCTGTCGGGCCAGCTAGTATTTGTATAAAAACCTAGCTGAGTTCCTTCTTCTGTATGAGTGCCAAAATAGTGCAAAGATCCTTTCCAATCACCTAATTTAAAAAAAAATCCCTGGTACCCCTTCACAACATATAGCTGAGCGGCCCAAATGGTCTCATTCCTGGCCTGATAGTATATTTCATCACTAGGGCGTAAAGTGACTGTTCAACCCAAGTTTCAATGATTGTGTTGAAAACACTTCTTTTGCCCGTGTGATAAACAATACGGTACTTTTTTGTCATATTGCAAAATAATTTAAGAAACTTAAGTTAGAAAACAAAAATACTTTTCATGTAGGCGTAAAGATAACTTTTTAAAACAACTTCCAACTTGCTTTGAATATTGCTAATGCAAACACCCAGCTGTTAATTAAGTGATTCAATCATATTATACTAATAAAATGAACTGCAAGACATCTATCTATAATACTAGCAGGTTAACATGGGAAACTACAGAGCCACTGGGGTGAAGCCCGAAAGGATTTTTGAGATAAGAAAAGGCCTATGTTAATGGGGATGGTTTTTTGGGAAATTTTCAAATGTAACGGGGGGGTCTAGGTCTTACCGTGCCAGCTACGGTAATAACTACTTCTCTATAGGGAAATTCGCTAAAAGAGGGAAGGTTCCTTGCTAGTAAGTGTCATACTACCCTGGTGGCTGCCCCAACCATCTGAAGTACAAACAAAGCGGAACCAAATGAGAAGGTGTCTACTTCATCATTATGGACACTGGACAGGTTATACAGTTAATCATGCATTATAAACTAGATCTAATGATGAATTAAAGATAAAACTATAATCGTTCCTTAAAAAACCATATATATTTTATACAAATTGTTGGATAGACTGTTGTGTGATCTGATTTCGGATGGCCAATTTGCAGGACTGGGTGTCAGTATTTCCTTATGAGGAGGAGGAGAGTTCCCTCGTTGCGGAGGGCCTACTGCGCCAAGACGACGTTGTGTGGTCACGTCTGTTCCCTCTAGAGGCATCCCCTGCTATCTGCTATCAGTGGACCGAGTCACTTGCCAACCGTCGTTTGCTCACTGCACTCAACATTGACTCCAGAAACATTGTAAGTCATCTAACACAATGTTCAATTATTATTTAATTAAAATTAATTGTAATATCTCTGTTATTATTATGGTAGGCCTATACATGGTGGAAGTAAATAAGGTGTGCTACTGCACATCGTAGCCGGCTGCCGGCGGTGCGGGGAGGGGTATCGTGACGTCACCTTGGGGGCAAACATGCCTCGCGACCATATCGAGCAGTGATGCTGCTCTAATAAAATTGTAATTTTTAATAGTAAGAACCGATAAAAATTCCTGAAACTTTGCATAGTCTTGGACTATTAACATAGGATGCTTATGATTTAAATTTTATTTGAAATAAAAACCATTCAACCACCGGTCAAACTTCGAACTTTTTCATACGAACACAAAAAAGTTAGTCGGCTACCAAATCACGTATTATTTGGTCAGGTTTATCAGACCTGCAGGAAAGTTTTAGGGAAAGGTTCTAATTTAACTGTAGTATTGGTTGGATTTCGATAAAAGAATTACTTTTTTAGCTACGATGAATTATATCAAGCGGCAACGGAGCGCGCGCTCAGCCGATGCCACCGTTTATTGGATAATAAGGCCACGCATTTAATATCCAAAACACTGTAGCTATATGTTATAAGGATATACTTTGTATTCTACATTTTAAATGAAATATGTAATATTAACATGTGACAGATATAATAAGTTTTACATTAAAATGCATTGCAACATCTTCGTTTTTATACAAATTAACTCTCTTTGATAACAGTTGCCATACAATTTTTAGGATCGGAAATGAATAACATTTACTTAACCAAAAACATAGTTTATTACATTTTGCAATCTTATAAAAATATTTACGACCTGAAAGTAAACATCTAAAAATTAAACATTTCATCACCTCTGGAATTTTCTAAACTTTTTTAAGTTTCTTTAGAAATTTTATTTTATTGCCACTAGAAAAATTGCATTGTCTTAGCCTCCTGTTGATTTGTTTGATTTTGATATATGTTCGTATCGTTTAGAGATCTTCTGACAACGTCTTCTTGTAAGTCGCCATTTACTAAGTAAAATTTATTGGTAATGGTAGTTACAGATTCTGGTGCATGTAGGGACTGTGAAAATCGGAAATTTTTTTATCATGGTATTACAAGTATGAAACAATTTTATAACCTGATTATAAATACAATGTTTAATCACCAACTTATTTTTTACCAGAGCACATTTCATTTTATATACTGTAATACATTAAATGCATTCCTTTGCGTTAAAGATCATTTATTATTTAAACCACTATTTGCAAACTTTGGTTTTAACTAATCAACAGCGATTTGCAATACTTTAAATGCAATTTGGCAACGTTAACTCTATTCACCGAGGGGACAATATTATATATTCTCTGTGAACTATTACGAAATAACCCATATTCAAACGGGGAAAAACACACTGAAGTCAACAGAACAACAATTTTTCACATCAAAATATAAATACAGGAATAAAAATATCACTGATACTATATTCATGAAACTACATTATTTGTTGGATGGCAATGTGTGATTGATACTTGGCAACTGACTCGACTCGCAGCATGCGCTCCGATCACGCGCTCATATAACTTAGCATATCTCAGGAAATAACAACTCTAACGGTATATAGTTTGAAGGAAAGTTAAATTTGGATCTTTATCTAAAACTTTCCCGCTGGTCAAATGCTTCTAACCAAATAGTACGTGATTTGGTAGCCGACTAACTTTTACATGTTTAGTTTTAAGAAAGGCCAAGTATAAAGAGTGATTTCACGCTTAAGTTTTTAACAATTACAAACTATTTTTTCACAACACGCATCGTCCACTTATAGTTGATGTCCATGTCAAGTTTCATAATTTTTCCTCAATTCTAACAGTTCAAAATGTTGATGTTAATAGAGCAGTGTCACGCTGAGCTATATACGCGCGCGAAGCGGTTTGCCCCCAAGGTGACGTCACGTCGTGATGCGCAGAACGGTCTCAAACTCGTCCGGCTGAGTAGCATACCTTATTTACTTCCACCATGGGCCTATAGCTATTTTAGTTTTGAAATATTAACAAGTTTTTTTTCTTATTATTATGTTCTAATTTGCTTGTTTTAGAATAAATACCTGATATTTGAAAACGACAAGACAAATTTGTTAAACGGTTATAACTAAAAAATTGTAAGAGCTATCAAAGATTTAAAAGAATTTTCATGGTCAGGAATTACAAATTTTCTTCAAAACCCTCTTAGGCGTTTTTCCAAAAATCACACCCCTTCACCCCTAAAAAAACGCCCTACTTACGAAATTTGTAAATTTCTTTCAAATCTTTAATGGTTTCCCCTTTTTTTTCAAATATTAATAACGCTTTGTATTCTCCTCAGTTTACTTTAAATTTTAGTGTTGGTGAAATTAAGTTAACCCTTTGAGTGCCAACGTCCGGGGAACCGGACGTTTTTAAAACGAGCCAAAAGTGCCGACGTCCGGCCGACCGGACGTTTTTAGAACAAGCCAAAAGTGCCAACGTCCGGCTGACCGGACGTTTCGTAATGATCGAACAGTTGTCATAACAACCGAATGGATACTCGGATTCTTTTAACCCGTATATTAACATTGAGTCGAAAGTTACTAGATGCGATACATCGATTTTCGTTGGTCGAAATATCGAAAATTCAATTTTTACGAAATTTTAACCTAAAAATCGCCAGATCGCGCTCGGCATTTTTAGCACGACCTTCGGGAAAAATCATCGGCATTTTTTGAGCGTTACTTTTATTTCTCGCCTGGCACTCTTAAGGGTTAATGAAAGAATAAATTGTTTGTTGTAAACTCTTTTATTGTCTTACAAACACAACACAACACTGAAAATATTTAGTAAACAACTGCATATGTAAAATGTAAAAACATATGATGGTCCATCACTAATCCAGACTAGATGAGTTGGGTTGCAATATTCAAAATTCCCCCTCACCCAACTTAGCTAGGTAAAAGTCCTAGGCACTTTTGAAATTTGTGATGTTTTGGTTCGCTTAGTCCTTTAGTAAAAATATCAGCAGCCATGTATTCTGTGGGTTTGTAGTTCAATTTTATTTCTCCATTTTGTACTTTTTCCTGTGTATAAAATGTTCTCTGATACTGATATGTTTAGATTTACTTCCTATAATGGAGTTTTTAGCCATTGTAATAGCTGATTGGTTATCACAAAATATTTCAATGACTTCTTGAGGTCTTCCCATATCATTAATTAATTGTTTTAGATGAATGGTTTCTTTAGCAGCTTCAGTCATTGACATGTATTCCGCTTCACTCGTAGACAGAGCTACAGTCCTCTGATTTTTTTATTCAATAGCTTAGTTCACCTAAATCTCTCATTTCAAAAGTTTTCATGAGCTGGGCTTTGATGTAATTGCGGTACTTTTGGTTCTTCCTAGCAATTAAAATGTCATCTACATATACAGAGATTATTGATTTGCATCCACCTACTGTTGAAATGTATATACAAGGATCAGCTTGAGATGGTGTGAATTTCAGTTCCTTTAGTTTTTCATCAAGTTTCATATACCACTGTCTCCCTGATTGTTTTAAACCATAAACTGCCTTTTTTAGTAGACAAACCTTTTTGTTTTGAGAATTTTTTAAGTCAGTAATCATTTTCTTTGTTTTGTTGAATAGTTTTTTATCTTCATTTTTACTCTCATCCACCATTATTTCTTGGAGATATCTCTCAAAGTTGTTTGGAAATTCCATGTAAACTCTTTCTTTTATTTCTCCATTTAGAAAAGCAGTTGAAACGTCCATTTTATCAATACTTAGATCATCTTCAACAGCAAGTCCAAGCATAAGTCTTATTGAACTTAGCTTTGCTACCGGAGCAAAAGTTTCATCGTAGTCAATGCCTGGTTTTTGTGCAAATCCTTTTGCTACCAATCGTGCTTTTCTTCTTTCTAGCTCTCCATTTGGTTTTAACAACCAATTACATTCATTTCTTTGTTTCTATCCTCGAGCACCCAAGTTTCATTTTTTAAATGAGCTTTTTTTTTGTCTTTTATTGCTTCATTCCATTCCTCTGAAGATTCTAAAGTTGAATCTTCATTGCAGGTAGCTGACATTTGATAATCTTTTGTCCAAAGAGGAGGTTTTCTTTGCCTTTTCTGTGATATCCTTATTTCATCAATGTTTAAATGTTCATTTGAGCTTAGTGAGTCATCAGGTTGATTTTGAATATCATTTGAGCTTGGTGAATCATCAGGTTGATTTTCAATATCATCTTTGAAAATAATGTCATTTTCCATTTCACTGTCATTTTCTTCTTCAAATATAATGTCAAAATCAGACTGGTCATCATTATTTTCGCTCTGTTTGATCGGAATAATGCAAAAATCTTGATCTTTTTTTATCACTTTCTTTTATTTTATTTTGCTCAATAAGATTGTAATCATTTACATATTCATTTCTTTCATAGTACATTTTTGAAAGAACTTTTACATCTCTTGCAATTTTAACCTGCTTTTGTTGTGGCATCCAAATTCTGTATGCTTTTGAATTGCTTGCATACCCCACAAATATTCCTTGCTCCGCTTTCGGATAAAATTTTCCTTTTCTTGAAGCTTTGTTTAATACAAATACTTTTGATCCAAATACTTTCAAGTGTCTTACTGAAGGGTTTCTTCCAGTCCATTTTTCATTTGGCGTTAAGTGTTGAGTAGCTTTTGAAGGGCATCGATTTCTTATATAGTTAGATGTGTTAATAGCTTCAGCCCACATATATCCTGGTAGATTTGATTCTATCAGTGAACATCTTGCCATATCCAATAATGTTCTATTTTTTCTTTCAGCCCAACTATTTTGCTGCGGCGTGTATGGAACTGTTAGTCTTCGCCTTATACCACTTTCTTTCAAGAACTTGTCAAATTCACCATTACAATATTCTTTGCCGTTATCTGTTTGCAGAAACTTGATTTTATTTCCTGTTTGATTTTCCACCTCATATTTATATTCTTTGAAACGTTAAAAAATTTTG